TCCACCAGTATCTCCAGTACCACCACCAGTATCTCCACCAGTATCTCCACCAGTATCACCAGTATCTCCAGTACCACCACCAGTATCTCCAGTACCACCACCACACTAGACAACACACACTGAAAGTAAGACAGAAGCAGAAGCAGCAATAGAAACAGTAGAACGTTGGCAGACATCTTCTACCGTTCTGTTCCCCACACTGAGGATTGATCGGTATTGATCACATGTAAATGCTATTGATCGTCTCAGCCTTGTGTCTGTGTGTACTGACGAGTGACTCGTCTTCTGCAGCTGTCGGAGTCCTGGGGGTCGGTTCCTGCAGGCGTCCAATCAGCATCACAGGAAGAAGTGATGACATCATGTAAGTAAGATGTTGTTTTATTAACACAACGTATTCATTTACATCACACCTCGTTATGATTGGACGGATTACCAATATCATTGTATTTAACTGGGACGTCACATTGAGATTAAACCCTCTTACACGTGAGACCATCATCCATGACATCATCCGGTGAGTTAACGAGGACGCTTCGTGGTCGTTGTTGGTTAATTGAAGCAGCTTTTTCACTTCCTGTGATCTAAATTTAAAATCATTTAAAGAGACAAAGGTCTGAAGGTTAAGATCGTTTCAAAAACAAAGACCAAAGTGGAACGAACCTCTGTGCTGATAGAGGGCCCTTTAAAACCTGTCTGTCTACCTGTCTACCTGTCTACCTGTCTATCCACTTCTATCCATTGTTGCTAGATACTTACTTACTTCACCTGGAGTAGAGTTGGCAACACTGAGCTGTGTTTTGGGTTGGATCATTTTAAAATCTAGCGTTCTCTTGATAAATTCTCCCAACTTTACGAACAACAACTTTAACGTCAGCGTTGGCCGACAACAAAGAAACGCTGGTCATATTTAGAATAGCATGTTTATGTATTATTATTTATATATTTACACACACACACACACAGGGACTAGGTGCCTCACACATTATACAAAGCAGAGATCACACACTGATAGTGGTCTACAGTATTGTGCCGTTTCAGAAAACATAAATATGTGTTCTGCAGGATGATTCATAACTGCAGTAGTAGCTCACGCTGGCTTCTACTTTCATGCCAGCTCTCATAGTACAAGTGTAGGCGTCGGTTTCAGTCTCAATATCAAAGTGAAGGAAAACACTTTTATTTTAGCTTTGTGTCATTTTGTGCAAATGAGATCTAACGGAGGGTTTTGAATATTTTTAGTGCACGAAATGGTTCCAAAAGAAACACGGGAAATGAGCAGCAACAAGAGCTACAAGTCCAGGAACAAGATGAATCCTGATGTAAGGTTATTTTATTTTATGGAGTGCGGTCCAATATCGCTTCTCAACAAAACACAAAACACTGAGGGTGGAGGATGAATATAAGAGTTGGAAGGAAAGAAGCTGTTAATAATATAACAATACATTATATTATCAAGCAAAGTGTCCTGCACTTTGTCCTAATAACCATAAACCATCTAGAACCTTAATAAGAATGACCAAGACAACAACAACAATAGTATTTCATCCCGTCCTCACTCTCTAACTCTCTAGCTCTACACTTCTCTTTGAAATATAACGATTAGAATCTCCAGAAATCTAATGAAAGGCATATTTTAGTTCTTATGACCACAGGTTTCCACTCAGTCCCCTAAAAATGTGGGACATTACCCGAGTCATGTGATCAACAGCAAGTATAAGACAAAAAGTAGTTCTCTCGCTCTATCTTCTGTATTTGTCATTTCTCACATTGTCTGAGAATCTCAGCGTCTATCATTTCTTACATGTCATTGTTTTTGTTTTTTTAAATAACGTTTGAATAAATCACTTGAAGGTGCTACGTAGTGTTCTCTCCATAGTTATAGAATATTATATTATTATATCATTATAATATATATAATATTATTATATTCTGTTTCTGCTAATAAATGCTGCACGCTGTTTCTTTAAGGAGAGTAACATCACTCTGACACACTACACCTCCATCACACATAGAATCTATTGTAAGGAGTAGGAGGAGCTCAGGGGACCAGAGGGTCGTCGGTTCTAGTCCCACTCTGGGCACTGCCGAGGTGCCCTTGAGCTAGACACCCAGACCCTCAAACTGTAGCTTCAGGAGCTGCTCCTAAATAATATGATAGATGTATTATTATAAACAACATGTTGATTCAAAGGTTCAGTTTTTGAGGGATTCAAGTATAACGTGAAGACCAACCCCCCGGAGCGTGTGATGCCGGTGTGACAAGAGCGCGAGAGGCAGGGGGAGACAGAGGAGGCCGAATGGACCAAGGGGAGAAGCCCCGCCCACCAGGAGGCGGTACATAGTGTCTGCAGGAGGAGTGTTCATATCAGTCCGCTGCACGGAGAGCAGCTCCCGCAGACAAACGCACGGCGGGAGAGAGAGAGCGGGACACTGGTGACCTGCTCCGGTGCAGGCGGATTATTCCTCTTCAGCAAAAAACTCTGGGATTTATTTCACCTTTTTTATTTTTATTTTACTTTTACAAGTTGATGTTTTGCTGACTTTGGACCTGCGGATCCAGTTTGGACTCGCCTTCATATTATTTACACATATTTGTATTTGTCTTCGTGTTATTTTCGGAGCCAGCGGTGATGTCCCGCCACTGACATGCACCATCCGTCCAGGTGAGTTGGGACAGACACAGGTGTTTTTATATATACTGTACAATATATATATATATATATATATATATATATATATATGGCAGCAACGAGAAATGATATAAAACATTGCGTCTCTTATTGTGAAATATCACTGTAATCCTCATGCGTAAAATGTGACTTTACTCTGCTTTCTTTTCATATAATATATCATGCAAGACGGAGTTTAAAGCATTATTTTCTTACTTTTTGGAGGTTTTGGATAAAAACGTTTTGCGGTGACTTTGCCGGTAATGTTTGGAGACGCAGCGCCGGTTCAGTTCCTTTAGTTTTATTAGTGGAGTTTTCTGTAAACGTTATTTCACACGAGATAAAAACAAGACGGCGTCTAAAGGACGAATGTTGATTCTCTGATTCCAGTTTTAAAGCTGCATATTTCTAAATAATGTAAAGATTTAAGCGCAGATAGATTTCCTTCTCTTAGAAGCTGAGTTTAGTGGATCCAGGTCACCGAGTTCAGCCGCTTTGTGAAGTCCTGCTCCGTGACAGGTGATGATTCACCGTGCAGACGACATCCCCTGTTAACACTTATTATTAACGGCAGTTACCGGACCGTGGAGGATCATTATACCTCTTTTATTAGCGGTTTGTGGAGCTGTGTGCCCTGCGGGAGGCGCACACGCACCGCCAGGGTTTGAAGAACAAGAAGAAAAAAAGTAACAAATAATACTTCAGGAGGCTCAAACTCCACGTGACAGCCGCTCATTTATTTTAACATATTTGTCTGAAGTGAATCGTGGAATCTGAAATGTGTTTTCTTTCTTCCGTCGTCGCCCACGGAGACCCTTCATGTCAACACAGACTGAGCAGCCGTGTTAGCATGTAACACCACGACACCTGATCATAAGCCCGCTGTCATGCTTCTCTGGTACCGACATTAGCGGGTTCTCTTCCCGCTGGCTGCCCTTCCCTCTCGGCGGGGTGACCGTCGGTTCCTTTTGGTGCCAAATGTCTTTTACGCGCCGCCGGACACATTTCATGTCCGTCACCCGTGGGGCTCCGAGCTGCACAGAAACCTCGCAGGGAAAGTTAGCGCACTCATACTGCTGGAGGGCACGCGCAGCGTCCAGTTGAAGCCGTCGCTGCTTCTCGGTGCGCAACAATATGCGTAAAAAGGAAAAAGACGACTCGCATCAAAGGTGCATACCGTGTGTTTATCGGTAGTCGGAGACTTCGCTCTTTGAAGCATGTTGTTTATCATTTGAGGTCGTTTTGGCACAGAAGTAGGCCATCGCCGCCGGGAATCCGTGCGCTTAGGAAGCTGTAGTTTAGTCTGGATAAACAGGAAGCGCCGCGTCAGAATATGTCGAGTCCGTTTTATTAGAAGGTCACGTTGTGTTTTTGGTGATTAAAAACTGGAAATGACAAAAGTGCAAGATTCCTTGTTCCCAATGCAATTAAGTGTGTTTAACATGAAGTGACTTTATTAATATCTGCTTAACAATTGTAATATTCTTTAGGATTCTATAAATGTCCGTCTATTAGCAGTAATATCCCATCAAACTGTAACATTGTTGGAGTTGATTTGTGGGTAAAATAAACAGTTCAGACGGGTTCACTCGCTTTGTTGTGATGTGACGCAGTTATTCCAGCTGCTTCCTTCACGTCCAACCAGCCAAACAAAGATCTGCTGCGATCAGCAACTTCTGCGCAGAGTTCGGACCTGAACACGAGAACTAACTCCAGAGCTGCACGTGAGCTAGAATAAGGTAACGATTCGTAAAAGACACACATTTTAGGTTTTATTCTTGACTCGTCGCGTTTCCTCGTGGAATTAAACCGATTTAAACGACAGAAAAGCCGCAGTTTGTGAAGGAAGACGCGTGAATCCAGCTGCTGCTCCGGAGCCGTGAGGCGGTGACGCTCGGTGATGAAAGCCCAGACTGACGGTGCCGCTCTGTTCATCCAACAGACCACCAAACCGGCCCGATGGCTCGAGCGCACTAACGGCGACGCAGCAGAGCGGAGGAGATCCACCAGCTGGAGCCGCGGCGCAAACCTCCCGTTCAAACGGCGGCGGCGAGCGGAGCTTTGGGCGCGCCGGTCCCGCCGGAGGAGGAGACCCGGAGTCACCGTCCTGGCGCAGAACAAACGCCAGCCCAGACGGCCTCGGCGTGTTTCACACCAGGTCGATATTCCACCTCCATCCCCGCGCCTCTAGCGGGTACTTCTCCTCGGACGGCGACTCGCTGCCGAGCTCCCCGCTCTCCCCGAGGCCAGCGACGGCTGACGGCGCGACGCAGACCCCGAGCCCCGTCGGCCAGGTGATGAAACACGCCCTGCAGCGCATGTCTGAGGCGAGGGAGCCCGGGACGCCCCTGCAGCACGGTGAGAGCACGGCACCCTCCACACATGACCGGTGATTACCACCAGCACGAGTTCACGCTGCTCGGTTTCCCTTCACTAAAGTGTGACGGAGCGACAAATACCGCGGCGGATGAACTCATAAGGACGTTTATTAAGTAACTGAACTATAAATCCGATATGTTTGAGAAGAGAAACCCGTTAAATGAACACTTTACATCGTGAAATGCACGTTTTCTCTCTCAAGAAAGCTCTAAAATAACACATCCAGTCATTGTTGTCATCCCAAATATCAGTTTCAAGAAGGTGTGAAGTGTGATGCACACCCTGATATATATTAAATATATATAAACCATACAGTAGCTGCTGTGCACCGGCCTGAGTCAGCTGCTCTGGTGTTTAGCTGTAAAAGCCACATTCTCCTTTCTTTAGCACAGTTTGAGTGTCTGGGCGGCTGCTGTTGAATGTTAACGTTTGTACAAAGATGAAGGAAAACACACTCAGCATGTTCTTAGACTCTGAGTACATCAGTCTGCTGGTTGTTTCACATTCTGAGCTACTGACTCGAAGAAATCCAACAAAAAGCAGAATGTAAAGACGTGACTCCTCAGTGCTGCTGAGTGACGTCTACACCTCACAGGATACATTTCAACCACACACACACACACCACACACACACACACACACACACACACACACACACACACACACACACGGGCCTGGTAGGAAGGTAATAACAAGAAGATGATAATATTTGATTGGAATAAAGAGTTGACCATATCTCTTTACATAAATGAAGTTAATCCTACAAAGTCAAACCATTGACATCATCCAACATTCAGGTCCTTATCTTCATCTCTTGGTGTCTTGGACTCAAACAGTCACTTAATGGTGTAGTGATGAACATTTGGCTTCAGTCTCTCTGTGAGTTTGACTCCCAGCATGCTCTGTTGGACCTGTTGTTGTTGGATCGCTGCCTCACATTCACAGTTTTTATGATCCTGCTGAGTCAGATTTACAGTCGGGAAGAAGAGTGTTGACTTCTGGCCACGCCCACTGCTGTGTGTGAGTGTGTGTTTGTGTTTGTGTGTGAGAGAGAGAGAGAGTGTGTGTGCCATGATAATAAAAGAACAATGCAGCAACAGTTCAGTGAAAGTAAATAAATTAGTCTTTCGTATTAGATGGAACAACCTTGTATGTAACAAAACTAGAAAATGTTTGAAAGTTCGCTGCTGAGAACTAAATATTTGAGCATCTTAAGTCTTCGGAGCTTTTGAGACTTTGGGAATGATGTGAATGATGATGTGTAACATTTACAGCTGAAGGTGAAGTCGGTTTAGCTATAAAACAACATTATAAAGAATGATGCTGCAGAACCACACATTAATAATTTCTTGTTCTTGTTTAAACCTGGCGCCGACACTACCCACAATGCAACAGTTCAGTTGGTGATGTGTCATGCTAGTAGCAGCTAATGTAGCCCCGAGCCGCTAGCCTGCAGCAGAGATGAGCAGCAGGCTGCAGATGTCTGATAACAACTGTGAGTCAACAACAGATTTATTTCTTTTTCAAACTTGGAGCAAACTCAAGTGACATCACGTGAGGCAGTTTGTCAGATTTCGCCAGGCGTCAATTTACGGTTCATTAAAGTGAAGTCAAAGCTTCATGTGTTAAAGCTGCATTCTCTCTGCTGCCCATCAGTTCATCAGTTCATCACTGATCCTGTTCTTTATTTCTGCTGTTTAGTCGGACACAGAAACAGAACTCCACACGAGTGCTGTTAGCTGCTGGCTCAAGCTGCTCGTCCTGTTGCTTGGTGGTAAAAGTGACACACGAGGCTGAGATTTGGCACAAAAACAACAACAAACATAAATCCCCCAACATGATAAAAATGTAATGACATTTTTTCATCCTCTTCCTCTATGAAAACCACTTCCATATCAATCTGGTTCAAGTGTTTAGTAAGTAAAGCGTTGTTGTAACATCTGTACACGTACGGCTCTGCTTTCTATAGCAGCAGTGATTAGCCTCACTGATTGCCTCGTGTGTCTTTTATTCATGTAGCCAAACACACAAGACACCAGTCAAAACAGACCAGTGTGTGTGTGTGTGTGTGTATCATTCATTAAGAACATAATCACTGTGTGTGTGTGTGTGTGTGTGTGTGTAGCAGTCAAAATAGGCCGGCAGGTCTTTTGTTCGATGCAGACTGAAACCCATCAACTCTCATTCAGTCGTCTACGTCCATCAGATAGTACAGATAGGAGATAAACACACACACACACACACACACATTTTGAGTAATCCGGTCTGTTTGTGTGTTGGAGAGCGAGTTAGATGACTTGAGATCATTGCTGATGACAGTCACACCTACAGTCACGTAGTGGAGCGGTTTTAAATATTCTCACAGTTTGATTATATCCAAGGTCAGATATCTTTTCTTTTTTCCCGTAAATATCAGTCTACGGGTAAATTTAGTTAAACAGTTAATCACAACCACCACGAAAATTGAAGGTGACGAATGGAGCCGTAAAGCTATAGTGTGAGGGATTCAGGGTGGTGGAAATCCATTCATCTTTGTTTAGTTTAGTTCACTCGTTGATTTGCGGACGTTTTGAAGCCTCAAGCTCAGCATTTTGGCCGTCGCCATCTTGTTTTTTAGAGACCTGTCAATCAGCGTGTAGCCCCGCCCTAAAGCATCCCCTGCTTTATGGTCTGTGTGACTCTAAATGGAGCATAATGTACTAAATGAACATCATGCTGTATTGAAGAAGACTTGAAACTAGAGATTGAGACCATAAACTCATGTTTACAATGTTTACTGAGGTAATAAATCAAGAGAGAAGTAGAGTCATTTTCTCATAGACTTCTATACAACCAGAGGAGTCGCCCCCTGCGCCACTTCCTGTCTACTTTTTGTGATTGTAAACAGACTGCGAGCCACAAACAGCCTTTTCTTCGCTCCTCCCTCTGCTGATGGGACAGTCATTCATAAATTCTAAATATATTCATCACTCTGATAGTGCTGTGTTCTTATATGAGTGCTCTGACTGATGAATGTATTCTTTCTAATGACAGAGGTTCATCTCTGTTCTGTTATGTGGCATCTCCAGTGTTCAAAAGATGCCATTGGATCTATGGGAAATGCAGTGAATTAAACTGTGTTCTCCGTTGTCGTGCACATACTTCCCCATCAGAGGCTGCTGGAATAGATTTGAACTTCAGCCTCGGGTCTCTTAAATATCGGAGCATGTGAGAAATATTAAGCCTGAGTTTCAGAACAGTGTTCGTGAGTCATAAGTGGAGATCAGTAAGAAGTCAGAGCTTTCATGTTGTTCAGTACTGATTTACTGTTGACTGAAAATATCACAGATTAACCACGAAAATACACACACACACAGCCGGTCAGGTATGAGACGGGTATTTCTCTACATCTTTATTATAATGCCAGTCATTTTCATATTGTTACATCCTCTTCTTAGAGCTTTGCTTAAAGAAGGAGGGATCGCTCTCCCTGGACGGACAGAACAGATGAACATAATATAATTACAATACAGACAATCCATAGAAAGAGCTTGTTTGGTCATATTAGCAAAGTGTAAATGTCTTTTTTCTTCTTCTCTCTGTTTCAGGACAAACTTCCAGCTCCTCTAGCACGAGGCAACGAAACGCAGCAGAGGAGATGCAGACGGAGGCAATCGGACGAGAGCTCCGACGTTTCGGAGACGACTACAACAGACAACTTCTGCTCAGGGTTAGTGTGCGTGTGTGTGTGTGTGTGTGTGGAGAGAAACCACCAGCCACCACATTTATGGAGCAGTTGAGCAAAGTGCTGAACGCTCAGCAGCTGCAGCGGAGCAGCTGATTGGCTGACAGAAGGAGACTGTGGTTAGCTAACAGATGTAAATGACGTTAATCAAATACAACATCTTTTTGTTGTTATTGTTGAGGCTTTTTTCTTCTTCTTTATTTTCCAGAGGTTTAGAGTTCCATCTAGCAGCCTGGCCTCATCCAACGTTCGTAGCTATAAATACGAAAAAAATAATGAGCCACAATCCGTGGATATCCCACGAAAATATTTGGTATGTTCTCCACGTAATCTTGAACGAGGAAGTTTAAAGACTGCAAAAACCTCACATGGACGAGTCCAACAAACGGCAATCTTTTACCCAGTTAACAGCTGTTCGTTGCCCATGTGAAACGAAAAGTCAACGTTGATTTATTTGTCAAATAACATGCGTACTAAAGTAACGCCACATACTTTATTTTAACCAAGACGATGATCTTTTCCTAAACATAACTAAGTAGTTAAGTTGTTGTAACAAACTCTTGCTACTTCTATGGGTCCTGGAAGCACAAGTACGCCAGCACACGGTCAAATAGTGTTTCTCAAAACGTTCTTTATTTAGTTATTCCATTTTATTCAGGCTGGACTGGGCCGTGCGCTCTGCTGCCTTCCTCCGAGCGCACGCCGTGTGGGTTTTCCTGAGGTCTGCCGACTTCTCTGCCCCACGGCCAGTCTGTCTCTTGCCCCGCTCTCTCGTGCCTCCGTCACTACTAGTGTTTTTATATCAGAGAGAGAGAGAGAGAGAGAGAGAGAGACAATTCAAGATGGGTTTCAGCTGCGCCTAATTAAGCCTCTTCCCGGCACCATTCCCTGAACCACTCCCCCACTCTGTCCCCTCTACAGCTGAGCCTCAACACACCCCGCCACCACAGTTGTCTAAACCTAACTAAGTAGTTTAGTTGTTTAAACCTAA